TATGTTGGTCAGAGGGAGGGGGGAGGAATTCAATTTATTTGTAATTTAAGTAATTGTAATTTGTTTTTATATTGTGTGTGTGTGTGTGTTTCTTTCTTTCTTAACTTCACTCAAACAAACTCTCTCTCAATTTGAGAGAGAGTTTGCTTGAGAAGAGAGGGAAGGAGCAGATGCAGGGAGGGGAGCCTTGTTTGTTTGAGAAGAGAGGGGCAGCCCTCTCCCCCCCCCATCCTGCTCCCCTCTTTCTTTCCTCCTCCTCCTCTCCCCTTTCTTCGCCGGCTGCCACCTCGCCCCACTCCGCCTCCTCCGTCCCTCCCGCTGTGTCCGCCAGGCGTCTCGCGTTTATGGCGGGCATAAACGCGAGACGCCTGGCGGACACAGACTTGGGGATGGAGGAGGTGGGGGGCGAGGAGGAACCGCGGAGACGAAAGGCAAAGAGGGGTGGCGAGGTGTTTGCAGCCCTGGTTCCGTCTCCCAGCAGCCCCAGGAGGAAACAGCGAAGAGGGGTGGGGGGGTGTTCCAAGAGCCCCCCTCCCCTTTTGGCACTCTGCAAGGCCTGCCCGAGCTCCGGGAGAAAGCGGCGGGAGCGGAATGCTGTCCTCTATTGCCGGAAAGTCCGGCGAGGGAAGCGGGGCTCGTGGAGACTCGCTCACAGCCGGCTTCTCTGGAGTGGAGGGGGGGCGATAGAAGCGGAGCAGCGGCAAGAGGATCCACTCCGCTTCAGAGAAGCCGGCTGCGAGCGAGTCTCCACGAGCCCCGCTTCCCTCGCCGGACTTTCTGGCAATAGAGGACAGCATTCCGCTCCTGCCGCTTTCTCCCAGAGCTCCGGCAGGCCTTGCAGAGTGCCAAAAGGGGAGGGGGGGGCCTCTTGGAACACCCCCCACCCCTCTTCACCGTTTCCTCCTGGGGCTGCTGGGAGACGGAACCAGGGCTGCAAACACCCCCCCACCCCTCCACGGCTCTCGCTCCAGCATGCTGCGGGGGGGGGGGAGGGAGCCGCTTTCTTTCTTTTTGCCTCATCAGCCAGAAGCTTCACCGCACGTCACTGCTGTAGATGTAAAAAAGCCAATGTAATGCATGAATAGAGGAATAGTATCAAGATCACATGAAGTATTAATATCATTTTACACTACTAATAAAATCAAACTTGGAATTCTGTGTTCAATTGTGCTCACCACAATACAAAAACAATTTTGAAACTCTAGAAACAGTGGATAAAAGAGCAACAAAGTTGATAAGGGGTCTGGAAGCTAAACAGTTTGATGAATGTTTGAGAGAACTGCAGTATTTTTTGGAGTATAAGACGCACCAAGATTTTGAAGAGGCAAATTTTTTAAAAAAGTTTTTGCATTCTGCAAACCTCCCCAAAACAGCCCAATTTTTGCAAAAATTGGCCCATTTTTTGTCAAAAAAAGGTCATGCATAGCCTTTAGGAGGCTTATAGAGTGCTCCTGGCGGGGGGGCAAAAACGAGCAAAAAATGGCTTGTTTTTCACTCATTTCTGCCCTCCCCAGCCCCCAGGAGCATTCTGGAAGCCTCCTAAGGCTATGCACAGCCATTTTGGTGAAGGGGGCAGGATTTCGGGAGGCCAAAAATGCTGTATTCAGTGTATAAAACAAGGATGGGTGCTCCATCCTTGGAGGCTTTTAAGAAGAGACTGGACAGCCATTTGTCTGGAATGATTTAGGGTCTCCTGCCTTGGGTAGGGGGTTGGACTAGGACCTCCAAGGCCCCTTTCAATTCCAATTCTATCATTCTAGTTGTCTGAAAGAAAGCAGTTCTTAAGACAGAGATCTCAATGCTGTCAGCAAGCAACATGGGCTCAGCTTCAAGACCATGAAAGAGGTGGCAGGGAATGGGTTGAGATTGCTTCAAGAAGAGTGTTTCGAAAAGAGAGAGCTAACATTGCGATGGCACGATGTGCGATCTTGGTGCCCTGAGAACGCAGTCAAATTTCTGCTGCTGGA